CATGTATCCATGTTGTCAATTCCTTGTCTCTATCTAAAATCAAATATATAAACATGCAAAGGATTTATTTTCTTTTAACTATCCTAAAATGACATTAGAGGATTTCTTTCTGAGCATAGATTTTTAAAGAGGTTAAAATTTCCTGTGGCAGTTGGACAAAAAAAAAGATAAATTTTCATATAAAGTAGATTTTCAAAAATACATATTGTTTTAACCCATTTCCTACAGCTGGGATGTATGTTTCCCAGTGCACTGTGAAACGTACATCCCAGTTGCAGTGATAGGGTTAAACAATATTTACACTTTTGTCACTTTTATTTTTCATATCAAACTAAATTTAATGCTTTTACTTTCTTTCATCTCTTTATCTAAGCACTTCCCACACACATTTGTTTACTTCCATGCTTTTAAGTTAATTATATATAGGTTTTAAAACTCCTAAGTTTGAACAATTACATATTGCTCCAGGCAAACATCATTAGTGTTTAAACCATTATTTTAGCAAAATCTGTCAAGTTTTAAAAAGTATTTTACTGAAAGATTAAGAAGAATATTGAGCTTGCAACACTTGTGGTGATATGAGGTAATCAGTAAATGTATGTATAGTACCATGTACTGCTAGCTTTTAAAATCATAGTGATAATTAAAAACAAAAAAGAAAAAAAGCTGTTGATGTCACATAAGTGTAAAATTTTTTACACTTTTTATGCAAGTAATATGAATGTTACAGATTATTTTTCTTTTATTTTCTTTGTTCCAATGTAGATTCGTAAAAAATTGGAAGAAGAAATGGGGCAGAAATTGAATAAGTATAAATCATATATTGACCAGGAAATGTTAACAATCTTAGGCCAGATGGATGCTCCCACTGAGATATTTGATTACCTGTATCTTGGCTCTGAATGGAATGCATCAAACTTGGAGGAGCTGAGAAACAAAGGGTATATGTTTCTTAAATAATAAAGAACTTTCTGTAACATTTTCTTTTTTTTTGGTAATATTAACGTAACCTTTTTCTTTCTTTTTTTTTATTAACTCATCATGAAAATTTAACTGTGAAGTGATATTCATTTTCACCTGAGTTGTTTTTATTTCACAAAAGCTTCAAGTAAAGGACCATCATTGGGTGGCTATACCTATGAGTTACGTAGAATGTATTTTTTTTTATATAATATTATTTTGACATTGTTACTTTTGTAGTGTAGTTAATCTCTCTGTGTCTTTTGGGATGAAATTTCCTGTAATTCTACACTTTATTTGTTTTAAGAATCCATAAGTGAGAGCAAAGGAGAATATGTTGCTACATGTCAACCACAATACACCTGTCGTATCAAGTGCCAATGAGACTGTTCAATCAATACCAGGGCTCATCAGGCCAGCTGGGATACGACAAGCGTAGTAGTGGTCTAGGTGCTGTATATATCATCAGTTTTTATGTGCAGCAACTGTTAGGATGCACATCATATTAAGCAAATGAATTATAATTATTTTTATGATTTTTTATACATATAATTTATGTACAAAAACTTTATTATTCAAAAAGGTTACACATGAACAATGCACTCTAAACTGCAGATTACTGAACAAGCTATTGTATTTCATGGTTCAGGGTCGGGCACATACTGAATGTCACTAGAGAGATTGACAACTTTTTTCCTGGAATGTTTGACTACTTCAACATCAGAGTGTATGATGAGGAGAGCACAGACATGCTGCCATACTGGGATAAAACCTTTCGCTACATCAGAAAGGCCAAGTATGTATTGATTCACTTCAAAATCAACTACAGTGGAACGCATAGTTCCAAAGGAAATTTGGATCAATAATTTTATAAATGGGAGAACTTACCGCTGCAAATTTTAAACGTTGAATTTAAATTTTACTATGCTGCTATACATGATGGCATTCATGATTTATTTGGTAATACAGATAAAATGCTCCGGTGATCTTTTTGCCTAGTTATTACTAAAAAGAAATAACTTGTTAGTGGAAAATATAAGATAGCTTGTATTATTAATGAAGTATAAAGTAGACCTTTCAAGCTTTTCAGGAATAATTAGTTAATTTAATACCTACTGTTGAAGTTTATTTTCCCTTGCTATATCTCTGTGAATGTTTTTTAAAAGTTAGTCATGCTTCACAAAACCTTTTTTTTTGTCTCAGATGGTTATTTATTAACATATACTGTTTCAGAAATCAGGGATCTAAAGTGCTAGTGCACTGTAAGATGGGGATCAGCCGGTCAGCATCTGTTGTGATAGCTTATGCAATGAAAGCTTACGACTGGAACCTTAAACAAGCCATAGAATATGTCAAGAACAAGAGAAACTGTATAAAGCCAAACAGTGGTTTTATGAAACAACTAGAAATCTATGAAGGAATCCTTGATGCAAGGTATGTAATGTTAATGCTCTCCTTAGATATAGTGTCACATCCATTCTGAACCTCATCACTGAAACAACTACCAGTTTCTGCCTCACTGTCAGATTGACATTAAACTTCCTCTGAAAGAAATTAATCTATCAGCTCCTGACCCCTTGCCACATTCACACAACTTTGGATGAAAATTAAAATATCTGTCCTGTCTTGTTGTCAGATTCATACATAAAAATTAGTGTCAACACTGACTCACTGTCAGATTCAAACTGAACTTCTTATGACAGAAATTAAACTGTATTTCCTGGTGATTCATAAAATTTTTGACAGAAACTAAATATGTTTCCTTATTCTTTTTGGCAAGTAGTTGTATGGCTATGGTGATCATGATCTTATAAATTATGTAAGTGTAAAGATTAGACTTAACATAATAGAAAATAAGACTTACTAGTGTTACACAATATTACACTAATCTTACATAATAAGATTTATTGTGTAAGATGCAGTTTATAAAGAGCTTCTTATTGTTGGAATTTTAAACTAAGCACATTTGAAAACTTTTTTTGGTGAAGCTACATTAATTTATAAGTGTATTAGTAACAATACTAATGAAGTCTCAACCATAAAGGCAGTAATGTCTCAAAATTTAGATCTAGATTTGGCAAGTGTTATTTAACAGTTCATCAGATATTGAAGTTTTATTATATACTAACTACTTCCATATTGTTATTAGAATTAATATTAAAAAAAAGGTTTATAAAGTTGAGAAGAGTGAAAGTGGAGTTTTTCACAGAAGGCCTCTTTGTCTTTGAATGTGTGAATGAACAGTGGCAAAGGAGTAACGAGTTTTCTCCTTTTGTTTTATTTTTCTAGCAAGCAAAGACACAACAGTTTGTGGCGGTCAAAGTCTGAAACAAATCTCAAGCCTCCAGAACAAAGCAAATATCCTGGCAAAAAGGATATCTGTGGTGAAACTTATGCACCAAAGCAAATACCATCCTTTTTAACGATTCCTGGAATCATGTGTCGTCCTAAGTCTTGGTCTCCTGATGATGGTAGTGCTGATATTTTTCTACCATTTAACACAGGTATAATAGTTTGTAGTAAAATATTTTTTGTTTAGGTGTTTATGGTCGCATCATACATTCATAACAGTTATGAATTCTGCAGAAAATTGCAAGTAACCTCTCAGACTATTGTTTATAAATGATACTTTTAAAGTTAAGTTAAAGATAATGCTCATTAAACATATAAAATGTAGCTATAATAATATTCATAAAGTATTTCATCTCAATATGAAAACTTGTCTTATTTTAAGTGCTAAAACTAACATATATTTACCATTATTAGAAAATCAGGGACAGTCTGAAGATGACTGGACTAAAAGACGCAGATTGGATACTGATCCTTTGTGCTATGGAGATGTGAACCAGTCAAATGGGGATCTTCTTAAAGTTCCACCCACATGTTTGCCTAAAGTGTCTTCCATAAAAGACAGGATCAATGAATTGGTATCCCATGTTTCCTCCTCTTTGGATCCTCCTAAATTGGATGTTCCAAGCAGATCTGGCCTTGTACTTAATCTTGCCACACAGTTTGAAAGCTGTTCTAAATCCAACTCTCCTGTGGATGAGGGAATTACTTTCACAGTCCCTGTAGAGGATGTTGAAGCTGTAGTTTCCCAGACCAAACCTCTGGTTCCAAAACATCAGGCTGTTCTTATAAAACCAGGACCATGGGATGTTGTTTCTAACCAACACATGCTAACAATTTCTGATGAAGAGATGAAGTCAGTGGAAAGACAGGCATTCAAATCTGAATCTTCTGACCAGTTATCTCAGCAGAGTGAAGCAGATTGCAATGAGGTATTCAGTTCTAACTCAAGAGAGTCAGTTGTTTTAACACCTGGAAATGTAAAAAAACAAAAGGAAGAATTTGAAATTCGAACTCAACTACTTCGAAGTTCCTCCAAAAAACATTCAGATATTTTACCCAGCAAAATTAATACTCCATACACAAAAGCTAGTCATGCCAGTCCAGAAGTTGTGTCATTGACAGGTAGTCCAGCAGGAGAAAATAGAGTCTTTCTTTGGTCCAGACAGAGTTCCTTTACTTCAACTGATAGTCAGTCTTCCTTATCATCACCATCACTGTACAAAGACTGCACTAATGCGGCAAATGATCAGAAAAGTAGATTCCTGTATGACAAAGAGAGCATCCCTTGGATGCCTGGAACTGTTCAACGAACCAAACAGGAGATTGAAAAAAAGAATCCTGAAACTAGTGAAGGTTGCATTTCTCACTCAGCTCCTACCACACCCTCGGCATCTATACATGTCCAACGGTCTCAAAGCTTGAGGTATGACAAGAGATCTCTGTCCACAATGTTTCCTGAGAGGTATCCTTTATCAGTTGCTGGGAAGTCACAGAAGAGTGCAAATGAAGCTGAGGATCTATGTTCTTGCAATAACCTCCAACAACAAGAGATGTGTCACAGTATCAGTATGCCATCAGTGGTAGAGATTGTTACAGAGTCTACCAACAGGACTCCAAACATTGTAAATAGTGCCATACAAAAACCTTTACAGATGGTGCAAGATGAAAGTAATGTGGCTGTTTCACCAAAACCAATTAATCATGAAGATGATATCTCTTTACTCTCTAGAAATCTGATTAACTCCTCAGTTGCAAATAAGAATACCATAGAATTTGGAAAATATGTTTCTGAGTGTGTCAGTCCTTTAATATATGGAGTTGTGCATCAGTATCAAGCAGCAAGATATCTAGATGGTGATGATGATGATGATATACAAATGGAAGCTGAAGAAAACCACAATGGAGTTGTAAAAAGAATTACTCTGGAACTCGAAACTAAGTCCAGTTTAGGACAGGTCAAGAATCAACCACAAGAGCATCAGGTGTCTGAAAAAGATACATACAGTTCAATGGAGAGGTCCATCAGTCTCCCATCATCACCAGATGTTGAGAACAAACGTATTTTATCAAATCATAAGGCTTGTTCAGTGCTAAACTCAAGTTGCAAAAATTCCTTTGTTTCTTTAAAATCTCCAAACTGCCTCTCTTTTTCACCATCTAAACTTTTTTGCAAACCCAAGTTAAATACAGGTCTTTTACAGAGGGGTGGTGCACCCAGTATGCCTAATCTGTCATTCAAATCATAGTACAGTGAAAAAACAGGGTTCCAAAAATCTAGGAACAAATTGTTTAAGAAATGTTGCACATTTATCAAACATTAACTTCCACAACAAGACTTTGTACATTTTCAAAAAAGAAAATATCTTGAAAACCTTATCTGGCTAACTTTTAAGCTCTTCCAACTAAAATTCATGAACTTAACATGTTTCCTAGTCTCTTGCCCGAGATGCCAAGGAAAAAATGCAGCCATTCTCTGAATAGACAGAGTCCCCTTCAAAATTGTTTGATCTGGTAGTCAGTTTCTTCTGTATATGATTGTGAATATTGTAAATAAGATAAGTTTATTTGTACCAAGCACGAGAATTATCTTAAGATCTCTTTTCAGAAAATATTGAAATATTTTCATTAGCTCATCTACTTAAACAAGTTTGGCACAATTTTTGTAAAGTTAAAACTCGAATAGGAGAAGTAAAGTGTACGTTAAATAAATGATAGTTATTGTGTGAATCTTTGAAAATTTCTTCTTCAAGTTTGATCTTGTAATATTTATTAAGTCATGAAGTTCCCTGTTGAAAAGAATTTAATATACAAGGAAAAGAAAATAGATGTGCATTTTGAATGAAATGGTATACGTAAAGGTTTCAAAATGTCATTATTTATGTGAAAATGAGGGTCATTGAATGAATAAAATGTTTTTTTTCTTACCTTATTGCTTCTTCTGTTTTGGAAAGAAAAATTTAGATGGAAAAAAACTTTGTCATGTTTAAGTGTAGGTTAAGAAATTATTACAAAACTAAAATGGAAAAAAATGAAAATGAATTAAATTGTAACATTTCACATCTTTAGGAATAAAACTAATTAAGCAAGGCACATGTAAGGTAAAAAAAGTAATGCAAATTTTCCTTGCAATTCAATTTCATTAAAAAGGTAGAATTTAACATTTGGGTGTTGTTATAGGTTATTTCACTTGACGAAGAAGGATTTCATATTCATGACTTTACATACAATTAATAATGAAGTTTTTGCCCACATTAAAGTTTTATAGCTTTTGAAATTTATAATCGTTTTATATTTTACAACAAAAATTTATATACCACAGAGGAAAATATTTTGGAATTCACATGATGTGAGGAATGTAAAAAACTCACATAAATTTCAAACAAACCAGGTTTCTATGAATTGAATGAAAAATGCTTTTTTATACAATCACTATCCAGTGTATGAACATTCATAGTTGTACAATAATTTATAGTTTGCCTATTTTAAGTACAATTTTTAAATTTCTTTAGAAGAAACTGAATAAAAATGTGTTACTGCTCAATATTATGTAGCCCAGTCAATAGATATGCAAGTGAATGACACTATAAAAAAATACTATTTTTGATGGTTACTCAGGCCCCATCTATATCATAATAACTTTCTATTTAATCATGCAGTAGTTTTGCTTTGTTTGAATATGATAAGTTGCCCTCCCCGTTCCTGGGCAAATTGAACAGTCATTATAATAACAATTCATATGCTGGTAACATTGAAATTAAACAATCTAAGAAGTTTTAGCCTTATATAAGGAAGGACAAACTGTTTCTGTGTGCTGATAATTTCTACAAAAAAGGATTGTTTAGGCTAGTGTGAAACATGTTTCTGGGGCTGAGCACCATGATGGTAATCAAACTTATTTGACCAGGCATTTACCATAATAAAAGGATTCAAGTATGTAGTCAAACATAACACACATTCCTTTCTCTGGAAAAAAAACCCAAGTTTCAGTTGTTGATCTGCTTCATCAAAAACAGTCCTTTTCAGTGCTTTCCTGATGATGATATGAGAGTAACAACTAAAATAAAGGGTATTAATAAATTCGTATTAGTTTATTAGTTACCAAACAAAAGTCATTGAAAAGGCTATTAACCATGACAACAATAATGAGATAGCATTTAATTTTGAAAAATGTGCTGTCACCTGTAAATAAATTCTCTTGCTTAGATGAATAAGTGCTGTGTAATAATGAAGTGTGTAATACATATATACTTGTATGTTTCTTAACATAAAATGTTGTTTGGTTATAGAATGATCACCAAAATGTAATGTGGATTTAGCATATGCAAAAGAATTGGTGTGTTGTTTCTTTTGCATTTTCCCACATAAAATTTTGAACTGTAGACATAAACCCTACAATACAGTCAGTTTTATATGGGGCAACATTGAGCTTATGACAAAAATTTATAAGTTTTTTTTACATATCTTCTGTAACATTTGATGAGACTCTTCAGGTAAAAAATGTTGGAATATTGTTTAAAAAAACGAGTATTTCTCCTATTAAAACTATTTTACTGGTGGGAGAAATATTTTTTTTATTTGAAGAAAATGACCTTGTTTTTCTTACTATTAACATATTTTCTAATGTGAACTAAAAGTACAATTTAATTAAAATGGGCTTATAGTTTGCAAAGAAAACATTTAGAAATTTGTAAATTAATTTAACTTCTTGTCTGACCTGATATACAGTTACTTTTATATGGTGTTAATCACTGTGTCCGGTCAAAACTAAATTTTCCTGACAGAATGATTATGTTGAAGTGATATGCAGTTTAATTTATATGGGGTTAAATACTGTTATAGAGGCATTAATTACCATGTTAGAATCAAGACTAAAACTTTGTAAAAACATCTTTTAATATTAACTGGTGAACAATTTAATCACTATGTATGAAACTAAACTGTTAGTTTTTTCAAAGACATGATAAATTAAAACAACACATCAGAATTAATGCAACAAAATTAGTATATCGAGAAAACTGCCTTCTGTCTATCGTTAGTGATGTTACTTCTTTGCTGTTAGGATTACGGTTATACATTGGGTATATGAGAATCGCACCCTTCTTCCTGTAGCTCAGCGACAAATTTGGAGGCATATAATGCCTCAAAAATGGATTCGGTATTTGCAGTGAGCAAAGTATTTGTGACATTCAACAGTTTTTATTATATTGAGCACATTTAGATAAAAGGACATATGTTTATATATATATATATATATATATATAGTAAACGTGGAAATTTAACAACCAAAAAATACTATATATATATATATATTGATAGTATACGGAGTATAACAGAAACTGAGGCATTATTTGTATTAATTTACTTTTTTATACCCAAAGTATTGTCGAAGCAAATTAAAAAAATTCAGCAACGAAATTTTTTTCCCAACAAAATAGACGCATTATTGCTTGCTACATGAAATGTGTAAATCTATTGCATCAGCTCATTATTTTGAACCGGAAGTACCTACTACTTACGATTAGTCATGTGACTACAATTTAGCCAATGATAAATCGACACGACTATTGCTCCCTATAAAGATAGGATAAATAGATCAGAAAGACACTTAAAGTTTTGCGAAGTGATGAAACTCTTTTAAAATAACGTATAATGTTGCGAAAACAACTTCATTAAACTTTATTTTTACTCTAGTCAGACCCAGGTTAAGTAATTTTATTGCGAAAAAAGAAGAAAGAAAATGCACAATCTGAAAACTATAGTAATTAGCAGAGTTGCAGATCAACAGTTCGAAACGAACTCAACACTTTGTGTTTTGAGAAACGAAAATGAAGCCAAAGTTGCAACAGTGATTGGTGGCGGTGTTATCAGCGGAGACTTAGGAGTGAAATTGTGTTCACTGGATAACCAAGATATGTCGTTTATGCGTACCGATGATAATATAAATAAATCGGGAAACATGCGAAAGAGACAGCGGCTTGACCATTTAACTTTAATAGAGAAAAATAAGAGAAGGTATGTTCAAACTAAGCTAAAAATAAAATACATATATTACAATATTAATAGTAATAATACAAGAGCGAGTTTAATTAATATGAACAACTCAAAATATGCCAATGTTTTAAAAATTAAAGTAAATTTTCATCTGAAAAGAGTTAAGTTACAAATTTTAGCATAGATTATTCTTTAATGAACGTAAAAGCTGAAATCACCTTCAGGTTCAATTATATTTACATTTAGCCAAAATATTTTATCTATTTATTTTTTACAATTTGTCACCACGTATTCATAACCCAAATGTTAAAACGAAACTTCTGTAAGAGATCTAATATTACACTATTGAGATGTGCTACATCTTGCGACATCTCTCGGCTTCGTGAAAATGATGTATAAATTCTGATAAATACGTTAAAACATAAAATTATAATTTTTACCAATAAATACTGTAAATTTGTTATTTATCAGCATAATTATTCAAAATAATATGAAAATAAATAACATTCACAAAAGGAGGTGTTCTATCTAGCACGATAGAAATCAATGGTAGCATTAGACGCCATAATCTTATGGAATTTTCGCTATTTTATATTGAACGGGAATAACGTTAGGTGCATTCTTTTTACTTTTGAACATGGTATTATTATGATGGAAATTAACTGATTTAATTTTACCAACAATGAATATAACTTCTGTGATAATTAATTAACCAATTGAATGCTAAAAGAGTCATTACTGATAATGGAAGGCCCTCTCTTTTAGTTTTAATGTGAAAATTGCGAATAAAATTTCTGTGGCATGAAATATGCTAAATCCGATAACTTTCAGTGTAGGTGTTTACTAGTAACTGATCTATACACGTTTTAAAGTACAAGCAGTTTTGATTAAATTTCTTGAAAAAAAAAGCTTTAAGACTGCAACAATGTTATTAATTTGCTAGAAACTATAAGTATATAGTTTAACAACATTATGTAGGGTTTTCCCAAAAGGATTCAAATATTGTAAAAATGTGTGGGGAAGATACAAACTAATTCGTAATTAGGACGTTAAAAATTGTGACTTGTATTTTTTTCAGACCTATATTCCTTGCATAAAACTTAACTATCTGACTTTGAGCACCTAATCTAGAACTTGAGAATTTCATTTTTGAAACTATATGATACTAGGAAGCTAAAAAACAGGATTGCAGCCCAGTCTGCTAGGGATAGGAGAAAAGCTCAGTTGGAAGAACTTGAGAAAGAAGTTTCTTGTCTTGAAAAAGAGGTATATTGTAAATTCCTGTTTGTCATAAAAATTAATTTTAAGTTGCAGTCCAAGTTGGCATTATCTGAGTTAAATTTTAAGTGCATTCACATCGTTTATGTTTTCCTATTTTTCAGTAAAAACTATAATTTAAACAGAGAATGTTTCACCATGGCATTTGTTTCTCTGTATGTGTATATAAATGTAACTGATTAAAAAATGTTTACACACCAGTGAATGAAATTTCTATTAGTTGTACTTAATTTGATATTAGAGCTGTAGTACATTGGTTGTAATATATGAGTTCAAATAAAGGTAAACAGAATTAATAATGTCTATTTTTTTATTTTGTAAAGAACTGTTTAATATATTATTCCAACATTCAAAATCCTTTTAATGATTTAATTTACAGTTTTTGCTGATACCTGTATTGAGATAAACTAAGAAAAAAGGCTTTCCAGAACTTTTAGGTGTAACAAATATTAGAAGTAGCTAAATATAAGGTTTTCATTTTGTTAGTTCTGTGATTAAAATATGTATATATGTATATATATCATTTATACCTATAAAATTAAAATATATGGCTGATGTTTCTTAGAATGGACTATCCTTCAAAATTGCTAAAAGTATTGGATCAATTTCTGTATTACATTAGAGCAGGTACTGTTATTTTTATAAATGGTTTCTGTAAAGCATTTTTCATCCCAGCATAAGCTTCTAAACATACTTTAAAAGTCATATATTAATAAACTTTGCTGTTAAAATATAATTTTTATGTCCTTCAGTGGTTCAGCAATAAGTGTGAAAGCATATAATGCATATAATCAAGTTTCAATATCAGTGGTGGGCAAAACATAAATATTTCATTTTATAGCTTTGTGCTTAAAACAAGCTAATGCATAATTTTAAAGTTTAGTAAATATATCAGTGGATGTTGTTGTGTTTTTTATTGAAATATCTGTGACAATATACTGTTGATTTCAAAATCAAGTTGAATAAAATGTTTTTTTTGTTTGTTTTATTCTGAAGAAAAAAGCTCTGCATGATGTAAATGAAGCACTTTGTAGAAGAGTTTTGATGATGGAAGAAGAAAATTCAAAACTGAAATTGCAACTCAGGTCAACAGATAGTAATACAGAGCTAAGAAACAGTCAGGTAATTAAAATACTTTCATTTTTATATTTGTGGAAGCAATATAGTTGCTCTAATGAAATAATAAAAATTTCGTTTTAACATTGCATGAAATTTAATGTTGTAGAAGCCATTTCTTAAGAATGTTGCTTTATGGAAAGTAGCAGATTATAGAACCAAGTAAGTTCCAAAATAGTACAAAGCAAATGCCAACACTTAATGTGATTCTTTGGAATAAAAGTAGTTTTATGTGAACCATACTGTATGTTAAAAGCTATTATTTTATTAATTATTGTCATTTAATTATTATTCTTGTTCATAGAAATAATATTCATGTTGTTATCTGAGCAGAAAAATATGTACATATAAATTGGATTAAAAAATGCAGTAACAGTTTAGTTTTTAAAAATAAATTGACATTCTACAGAAATATTGAATACAGGTTTAAAGAGATTATAATTTCATATAGATGTCAATCAAAAATCATTAGTAAACTGAATTAAAAGGTTTCTGGAACAAATCTGTCAGCAGGAAAAGGTAATATAATACTTAATTAGGAAAACACATGTACAAAGTATGATGACTTTGAAAGGAAATGAATCATTTACTGTGTGAATAATGAATATTAAAATACTCATGTAATGTTCACATTACTTATTGAAATAAAAATAAACAATTAAAAATATGAATGGTTGGCACATGTTGTTAAAACTTAAATAAGTATTTAAAATACAATATTTTTGTGTGTACAGTATTAAAACATGTTTATTGAAGCCATCAACAACATTCATGTAAAAAGACTGTTTCAATATGTCCCTGAAGATGATATAGAAACACCAAAACATGTACTTTCTTTTTTTTTTTAATTAATGGAGATGATGACTTCAATGAATATTGTAACATATTTTATTATTGGGTGAATTCTTTTGGATTATTTGGTAAAAATAATGTAAATTCCAGTTCATGTTTTGGTTTATTTCTTCTGTAACATCTTCTTTGGGGTCTAGTCACATTGATGCAAGTTGCAGTTGTAAGTTCGTGAAAAAAACTTTTCAGCATAAACTTTGAAACTACTGGAGGCCTTATACACTTTTAACATATTAACAGAAATTTCCTTAATAGATAACAAACCTTACTAATTCACTATTAGCTTACAGAAGCATTAACTCTTACTGATTGACTTTTGTTAACAACTGCTCAATTCCACCACACTGAATTCTCAACCACTGAACTAACTGCTTTTTCATTACTTGTATTTATAATTATTGTACCAGTCTAGATATTAGTTAAAGTTTCTTGATTATTTCATCATCATCATCATGATTAACAGTTTCCTTTAGCAACCATCTAAATTAAACATTGAAAATATAGCTTACAATAATATATTTTAATTTTCTGTAGAAAAAAAGTTGTATTTTAACTATTTAATTCAAAAGTTATTGTACCATGCAAAGCTGCATGAGTACAGTCTGCTTTAGCTGTCCCTAATTTTAAGGTGTTAGACTGGAGGAATGCAACTAGTCAATACAATTCATCATTAACTTTCTGACTGCTTATGTCAGACTGAATAATTATATTTGACCATCACTTTTATAATGTACCAATGGTCCAAGGAGCAGGTTGAATTTTCTTTGGTGTTAATAGGATGTGTATCACAGTACTTCAGATCCACAGTCTGGCATTGCTAATCAATGTGTTTGGTGTAGCCAACTTGTAGTGGATGTTATTAAATGTTCAGTAGAAATTGTTAAGTTACATGATAATTCATATAATTTAATTTTTTTTTATTAATTTAGAATTTTCTAGTGTTTATTTATGGATAATTTTCCTTACAAAATGCATATCTTATTGAACTGTACTTTTTATTTTATTAGCCACAAGCCAGCATTCAGGATCAGGAGGATACATTTCATCAACCACAAGTTAACTCCGAGACGCATAAAACTCTGTCTCGTGAACAAAATTCCAGCATCATGGATGAGGAAAATGGATGTAAATCTTTTGAGCATGCCTTGCTCATTAATGAACCTCTGCAGAAGGGACAAGATTTACTACATTTTCTCTTGATGATACAATTAACCTATTTGCAGATGTTGATAATGAGGTAAAAATCTTGCATGATCATGTTATTGTATTTTACCTCTTCACAATATCTGTATATAATATAAACTGTGTAAGTGTAACATAATAATAAAACCTGTATATAGATAATTTATACTTTTGTTAGAATTATGTATTACTTATTTGTTAAAGCAAAATTGTAATTGTGTCATTTTGGATTATTAACCTATGGATCAATGTATTTCATATTTGAATTTTGAATATAAGCATAAGATATTTTGTAGTTGCTTTATGTTTTTAATTTACATCAATATGTGGGTATTAATTTTTACTTATTTTCATTGTGAAGAGTGATTTAAGTGTAAAATATTAGTTAGTTCTTAGATAAAACAAGTTTAAAACTTGTGAAAAAAATCTTATTAATGAAAAATACAAAATTAAATAAGTGTTGGACTGAAGTTTATTTGGATCCAACAAAACTGTATGTTTGTTAACCATTTCTTTAATTATATTGGAAATAGCAAATATGTGATTGTTAATTCAATAATAATTGTAATATTCTATCACTCTTACAATTTTTACCCTAAAAAATGAAGAATACATACATGTAAATGATAAGAGAATTACGCACTGAAAGTTAAATCAGTTTGTGAGAAAAGCTCAAAATATAACCCATGGGGTAACCGTTTGGTTGAAATCCTCATACCTAGACCTACACTGTAATTAGATAATGGAAACTAGTAATGTATGACCATTTTTAATGCAATAACAAATTCCAAATTTTTTTAACAGCATGTGTTGTGTTATAACTTCAATAGAAAAGGGAAGTGTGAAAGGGAATTCTCTTTGTTTTTGCTTTCTTTTTTTTTTAAATGCTTTTTATAGTAAACTTATGTGGTTTTGTTATGTAATATACTGGCCCATAATGTGAAAATTGCTGAATTTAATGATGCTTGTTGTATTTTATCACACATCAATTTACACCTCAAGTATGGTTAGGATTAAAAATCAAAAGATATATTATCATTCCCTATTTGAAACATTTCTTGAATATAGTTTATTTTTGTTCACTTTGGACTTTAGGTCATCAGTCATTAAGATGCTATAGTGAATTTTTAGCTTTTATTGTTGAGTATTTTATGATTAGGTCTTCATCAGAACATATAATTCATATAGATGTTTTTGCTAATTACCAGTAATATTATTGCTAAATCATTTTTGTTAATCTATTTTCAGTTGTTAAAATATGGAACAAGACAATGATTTACCTTTATGAATTATATTTGATTTGTTTTTAATTATAATATTTCTCTTAAGTGTCATGGATTATACCAGCTCCTTAAAAAGTGCAACAAAGATCTCCAGTCTGACTACAGAACTACACAGAGAGACAAAACAACAGATAGGGTAACCTTTTATGTTTTCTGAATTTTGTCATTGTTTAAATGCAAGTTTTTTATCTACAAGTGGAGAACTGATAAAGGAAAGTTTTCCTTCCAAAGGTCTTTGTTTTCTTGTTGTTTTTTTACTGTGCTTTTGTGCTCTACATGCTTTCTAAGTTTTTGTGATTATTTTGTTAATATAGTTTAGAATTTCTTATCTGATTTATCGTGTCTGTTGGATTCAGTCTTTAAAGGCTATTCAGGCTATGATCAAACTAATTAACTTTTAAGACTTATGAGCTAGGCTTTAATTCTTTCTTTTGGTTTCAGGTCTCCAGAAAATCAATGTATGAAATGGTGGGGCCCACAGCAGAACAGCTGGAATCCATCAAAGAATTTATAAAGTTAGACCACTTTTATTACAAGGATCCTGAAGATGTTTCAGACTGTCCAACATTAGTAATTCAACAAAATTCAAACATAGTCTTGCCAAACTCATACATGGAAGATAATAACGAAAACTTAAGTTTTTCTCCTCCATCTGGTGACAACAGGCAGCTGATTGACAATGGAAAGAACCTCATGGATATAGACTACTTTTTCAGTACTGAATTGTTTACCAATAAGCAGTTATGTAACATTAGTAACAATTCTGAACAAGCAGATACTGAAGGACATCAGTTGTCAGATGTTCCATCCTTGAGAGACAACCTGTCATCATCTTGTTCTCCAGCAAGTCAGCAAAGTAGATGTCCATTGAGCCAAGTCAGTGAATCAGATTATGATTCAATATTTTCCATGATGTCTCCGTGTTATGAGAATGAATTGGATCCCATAGACTTGTTGCTTGATGACTCTTCAATGTGGGAGGAGTCTTTTACAGAATTATTTCCATTCGTAATATAATTTGCAATTAAAGTTAGAATTGTTACACACACACATATATATATATATATGTGTGTGTGT